AGCAACTAAAGGTAAGAGGTGTTTAGAAAGAATAGATACAGGGGCTTCTTTTAAAATAAAAGGACACCTTTAGATTGTTACATTAAAATGCAATATTGTTCAAGCAGAGCTTCCTTAATACGGGTCGTAAATCGATGGGAACTGGCTGATGGGGAGGAAGTTAATAGGTAGCTCTATAGAGAGATAATAGCCGTCTGGTGATGGGAGGGCATTACAAAAGTCTATGAGAGGAAATAGACGAAATGATGTGAAGCTTGAACATGTGACAGTAATGATCACACACACACACACACACACACACACACACACACACACACACACACACACACACACACACACACACACACACACACACACACACACACACACACACACACACCCTGAGGGATTGTGGTCATAACTTGTATCATGCGACCTGTGTTAACTCCCATCAGCGGACAGCTATCTCACTGTGACAAACATGTGGTCTGAAATGTTTGCCAAACAAAGTTACACAGACCAAATAAAAAGTATTAGCATAATTTGTGAGTGCATGTGTGCTCAGCCTGAGAGAGACTTTAGCCTCACATGAGACATGCAGGGAGAGGCTCTGTGGTGGTAATAAGTGGTTTTAAGTGAATTGTGGTCACTTGTAGTATTCAGTCAGTGGGTGTGAAGGGAGGTACTCTGTTTTGCGTTGCCTTGGGATACTACTATATGTATTAGCCACTACCCCACTGCTGAAAGTGGCCAAGCTAAGATTCCCCATGCTCTTATTAGGACCAGGAAGCACCGGGAAGCTCTGGAGAACAAATTACTTTCCCCGAGGTTGTAAATATTTTTCAGAACCAAGATCTGATACTGTGAAGACAATTTGTTACCCTATGTTAACAAAATGTACGCCACCATACACTATTTACGAAGAATGGCAATCATATTAATATTTTATCTGATGCTTATAATATTCCACCCTTATTTTGCTCCCAAAATACAGTATAAAAAAGGAACAGTTTGGCACTTTAGGACACATATGTTTCTTTTCCAGCAAAGCAAAGCTAACCAGCTGTTGGATCCAACTACACACCTAACGTATGAGGTATGAGTGTCACTCTTTTTTAGCAATTATACAAAACTAATCATTTTCATAACACTATCAAAGCCAGCATTCTGGGGTACAAAACAATTGAGGTAACTCAGATTTTCTTTGAACCAACAGAATATAAAAAAAGGACTCTGAAATGGTTTAAATGCACTTCATACAGATGTTTAATGTGAGGTTGTTTCTGCACTCTAGTCTCATGCTTGCACGCCCGCCCACGCTGCTTTTAGATGCATACGCACATGCTCTGGTATTCCCGCTGCAGCTGGATCTCAGCCAAGTTTGTGCTCTATCTTTTTAATGCTGTGCTTTTACGCCATGAGGCGTGTCACTCAGGGGAGTGAAACCTACAGCTCATACTGTATGTTGCCCCACCATAGCTTTCCAGCAATGACAAATGGTTAAGTGTAAACTCCCTCTGCTTTGGCAACTTGCTGATGGACGGATGCAACATTCCTGGTTGTTATGCCAACTGCCAACTTCCCTTTATAGCCTCCTTGGAAAGCATGGCACGTGTATAAGAGTTTGTAACACATCTGCTCTTTCCTGCTGCTACTGTGTCTGTTTAATGAAGACGATGTAAAATAAACTGCTCTGCTTCAGGGTGGTTGGCACCTGTATCTGAACAGTTTATTTCTACTTCACACTGATAACCTGATATTCTTTGCCTTGATAAGCAATTTGGTGGGATCAGAGTGTTTGCCGTTAATGCTCTAACACACTGCCCTCTTTTATATTATCTCAAGATTCACCAAAAACATCATTTTCTTTGTTGAATGATCAAACTAAAATGTTTTGTTCTTCGGTATTTACGGTCTCAAAAAGGTTTCCATTAGACTCTCAATGCATACGGTTATGAAAAAATTAAAACATAATGCCTGTGAAACCTCATTGTATACTTTACTGCTGTGTTTATTCCATTATGTCAGCAAATATATTTTCCACATGACACACACAGATATCCTGAGAGTTCACAGCAATGTTCAGGCTTCTTATAGTCCACAGTGACTGTTAAGTGTCTCACAGCTGCATTTCTGTGGTTGATAAAGAGACAGGAAGCTGCCCGCATCAATCTATGCATTTTGTTGTGTTTGTTGCCTTTGCTTTAGATAAGTGTGGAGTGTTTCTAAAACTAAAACAATGGACAAGGAAAACCACCAATGTCAGATAGTTATACCACGAGAAAAACACAAAAACGAGATACAATACTACCAGAGCACGGAGGCCCTTATTGGTTCGTAGCCATGTGAGGGGGTGGTACAAGCTGCAGAGAGTAGGTGGACGAGGGGGGATGGGGGAGATGTTCGGAGCTCATGCTAAGACAGGGGGGTTGAGAACAAGGCAGTGTGTGTGATCTATGGAGTGGAGCTGCTGCACAGAAATGTTTTAAGGGGGTGCACGCATTTGAGGGAGCCCTCTCAGGAAGCAGGAGGTTTGGCGAGTGTGTGTGTGCGTGTGCGTGTGCGTGTGCGTGTGTGTGTGTGTGTGTGTGTGTCTTGGGGGCCTGAGGTTCATGTGGGGACCAAATGTCTGTCCTCTTGTCAGGATATCCACAGAAAAGAGGGGTTTCTGGGGCACCCCGCCAAAAAGACGAGACTTTTGAAACACACATCCCAAATCTTTCTTCGCAAATGAACCCTCATGTACATGTTTTACTTTATATTTTTGCAATACAGGTCCCCATGTGCCATCATCCTCCTCACTATGTGGCTTAAAAATACATTGTCTTGTTCAAGAATTTCATAATAATTGTATATCTTGCAAAAAGTTCAGCAAAAACTGCAGATTCCATGAAATAACCTCTTATCGTGTGGTTTCTCGCACTAAAGCGGCAGAGCCCACAGATTGTGGATGGTTGGAAATATATATTTGTTAGGCTGGCTTGCCAAAACAAAAACTTACAATAAAAACTGAATCAGATACTTCTATAAAATATCAAGAGGCCCCAGCTGTATAACAAAACAAAACTACACTTCCACTCTCCAAATTATTTCCCAATGCTCTTGTCAATGCAAGATTAACAACTGGAGGAAGTGCAACCATCAGGATACAGGCCAGCTGAGCTTCGGATATGATAGAATAAACATTGCCACTTAACAATGGAGTCTTCAATCCAAACAAGGCTTTAGGGATTACAAATCTGGCCACTACAGGCTATGTGCGTGAACTGCAGCCCTCTCACATTATGGTGGTCTTTAGACAGCCAGCAGCTAGTATAATTAAGTAGCTGGAAAAACAAAACAAAAAGATAAGTGAAAAGGCCAAGAGACAGAAACAGGTGCACAGGATAATCAGGTTCTGCAGATTTGAAGACATGGAGCTCCGTGGCATTCCTTTGAGATGTGGTGTCATCATGGCAGACAACCAAATACAGTATGTTCCTGCTACTGAAAGTGACATTCCCTGTTGGGTATGTCACTGGAGACAGCTTCACGCTCCTCCCACAAATATCTATTTTCATGCATGGTAAACTGAGACATGTAACTCATATCTGAAGTTGGTACAAGAAGAACCTTCATGAGGGAAAATGTGTCTGAGGGTGAACAAGACTGTCTAAGAGGATCTCCAGGGCCCAGGAGTTCAAAACTTTTAATCCCTATCTGATCAGATCAGATTTGGATTTTGGGGAGTTCAAAACTAAAAAACCGGATTAGGATGACTTTGATATCCGATCAGATCAGGAAATCCAATCAAAGCTTTAATCTGGATCAAATCTTCAAAACGGGTAGTTCAAACCGACAACACAGGATTGGGATCAGTTTGATCCCAAAAAAATGGATTACCCTGATCCCGCCAGAGCGGTGGATTTCCAGTGGATTACCAGAGCAAAATGTACTGTACAATTTAATTGGCAACGTTTGTTAACTGAAATAATACACAATTTTTAGCCTTCATGGGAAATACATTTTATTTTTCCCATTTTTGCTCACGTTTGTGGTGGCCTATTTGTTTTTCAACCAAATGTTGATGACATAAATGTTGATGCTCATAAAAGTGTAACAGCAAAGATTGTCAATCAAAAATGTAATTTAGATTAAAGTAAAAATATCTTCAACAAAAAAAAAGTCCATCATCTGTCATCACCTTTCAAATAAAAAAATATAATTAGACATTATAGATGTCTCTGCGATGTGGTCTCTTGTCTTCCTTGTATTTTTTTTCATATCCACTAGATGGCGATCGGTAGGATTAAAGCACTGATATTCAGGATCTAGTCATCTTGAAAAATCGTAATCTGGATCAGGGTGATCCTATCCTGAATTGCTTTGAACCTCAGGGACAACATTTGGCCGACTTGTCTGATCCTGGATCACAAANNNNTGTATCCTGGATAACAAAGCAACTTAAAGTGGACCTATCATGCTATATTTGAATAATATAGTGTAGGACCATACCTATACTTTTTATTTTTCAAAATACCAAACAGATCATGTATTTTACCCATTCGCTCAATTTAACACTGTCTTTGCATGGGCTGATTCTGTGAGAACAGCACCATCTACAGGCCTGGCATATGTACTACAGCGTCTCCAGCGCTTTCCATGGCTGTCTCCTCCTGATTGGTGGAGTTGGCCCAATAGCCGTAGCGCCACTTCTGTGACGTCATAGAAGTGTTCAAATCTGGATCAGTCTGTATCAGATCCGTTGCAGCCCCTTTTTAAGAGATTTGGGTATGGAGGAAAATAGAGAGGGTTGTGTTTTCTGACACTCGGTGAGTTCCCTGGAACACCGGGGACACATATTCATGTATAAAAGACGTACAAAAGTGCATTTTGCATGATAGGTCACCTTTAACTTTGGCTAGTTTTTCCATTAATAAAATAACTAGGTCTATATGTGTCATACTTTCTAATTTCAAAGAAACAAATCCAGTTGTTGGAAAGATTAGGTCAATGTTTTGTTTTGTGCAATTTGCAGAAAGATGTGGCAGTGGAGGTAAATGGTGAGATGGCAGCAATCCTCCAGAGATCTCGTTTCTTTTCGGATTTCAAAATCCAGATTTCAGATAAACCAGAGTCCAGCTCAGCGTCAACAACACAGGTAGATGATGTTCTGGATAAACTGTGACTGAAATGCTTTAATTTTGAAAGTGTTATTACTGAATGCATGTTGGAAGTAAGAAACGTTGACATACATGTTATATGCAGGAATCAAATTGATCACAGGTTGCATACGTTTAACAGAAACAATAACTCTTAGTAGAAACGACGCAAGGAAAGCTTGAAGATTTGTTTCAGTCGCATGTCAAAAGTGACCATTAACTTTATTTATGTTTTCCTCAGTACTGCCACCTCAACCCATTCCTGCTGGCTGACAAACTGGGATCCTCTGTGAAACAATGCTCCAAAACAAGCAAATAAAGATGAGAATCAGAATACCTTTATTAGTCCCTCCCAGAGGGGGGGGAACAAATAGCCGTCCTTATTTAAATCAGTGATATGTAAGAGTAATCATTTGATGTGTTAGTTGTCCTCTACTTTCTGTTGTGATGACATTGTTTAGTTGTTTGACGAGATAACACTGTCAAAGTAATATTATAATAATTATGTGTCCAGATACTAAAGAAAAACATTTTGTAATTGTTTAGTACTTTCCCTATGATTTAACCTATTTGAATAAAGTCAAAGTAAATGTACACAAAAAAAAGTAAAATAACAATAAAAGCATAATGACAGTATTTGTGCCCCACTGTACTGCTGTCATTGTGTAACACAAAAGATGAACTTGAACTGACAGGAATGATAAGTGGCCCTTCGTGCTGTTAGTGGGTGGTTTATAAAATTATACATTAACTCTCACAAAAGCACAAGCAGATGAAGATGATTACATGTGTTTTATTCTATCACAATTAAAAAAAAGCTATGGTTTGAGTATGAAAATTGAAATACACTGAATCAGCAAAGGTTAAGCAATCATTTATTATAGTCATTGTAAAAACATTTTCAGGAAGATTATCCCGGACAGAAAACACGGTGAGTATGAAACAGACATCCAACAAATTTGTTTAATACCTGAGCTTTAGTGATGTACCACAAGCGTTCAGATATATTTTTAATGAAAGTAAAGATTACACAAAGTGCTTTAACTTTCTTTGAAGTTCAAGTTATATGATACACAATAAGCTACATCTCTGCTATAAAAATGTATTATTGATTCAAGTATTGAAGTGACAACTAAACAGAGGTACTGCCAACAAATTAAATAAAAAGGGCTTAATTATCAATATCTCCATTTGCTGAGCAAGTGTTTAAATTGACTTTTGTATTTTAGATCTTAAAAATAGTAACTCATGAATATATTGTAACAGACAAATAGAGTGGTGTGTGTGGATACAATAGTATAAAATATATGACTACTTGTATTATATTACTTTGACTATACTGAAAAGGAGTTCAAAATTGGGTGCAGAGTTGTATTTAAACTTGAAATAAAAACAGGTAACCTTTCTATCTCAAGCAAACTATGCTAGCTCGTTACACAAAAACAAGATTATTCAAATTGCACAAAGTACAAAAAGCTTTTCTTGCGGCTCTGATAAGGAGCGGAGGTCTGGTTGGATTTCATCCCAGAGGCCGTAAATGGATCAATCCAATTTGGCACGGTTTCATTGAGAAAGGAAACAAGAAAGAGAAACGCGACATCTTGCGTCGCTGCAACGTGTTTCTCCTGGAAACAGCAGGCCTCTGCTTACATCTGCAGCCAGCTCAGGTCATCGGCTCTGAGAGGAAAAAAAATGTAGCAAGAAAAGTATCAAGGTTATAAGTGTTGATCTGTGATTTGGTGTAATATATATGTAGAACATGTAGTAACCTAATATGTTATACCCCTATATATAGTTTACATGACTTTAATACACACTTCTGATTCAGCTTCAGGTTTAAGCATCCCCAGAGTCTCTGTACAAGCTGAGAATAATATCTGGCTGCTATTATAAATATATTAAAAACATATTATCAGACGATCAAATTACTATGTTGAAAATGAGACGTGCAACTTGTATTGAACAACCAACAACATTGCAGACTGTCTTAGCACCTTTCAGCCTATTGCTTTGGTTTTATAACCGCCAATACAACTATATATGTTTAGGTTCACTCTCATGCATATTTTTTGTCTTCTCAATTATTTTCAGTGAAAAGCTCTGACTCTACAAATTGGAAAATAACACAATTTATATAATCATGTTAACTCCAAGATGATGTCTTTAAATGCCTTGTTCTGTGAGTCTAAAATAGTTTTCAATGTTTTACTAAGCAGGAAATCTCCATGTTTAAGAGGTTGAAAACTAATTAAATTATCAAAACAGTTTTATTTTTTTGTCGATCGACTTATCGATAAATCAACTAGTTGTTGTAGCTGTAGATACAAACATGACTCTAAATAAATGATAATGTTTCTCCATATCTGCTGGACGTGTAAATAAGCAACACTTGCTCACAGGTTTGCTATATGAACTTAAAAGGTTGATGTGTATGTGTATGGTTCTGCTGCCCCCAAGTGACAAATAAGAACGACATTTACTCTCCGATGACATTATTGCGTCTGCAGAATTCATAATGACTTCATGTATTAAATGCGTATACAGTATTTAAACACATCCAGTTTGTGTAAATGCAGGATGACACTCACTGAGCCTGTGCCTTTGTTAAGACGTGGCCCGTCGCCATCAGCTCAGCAAGACGAGCCACCGCGGGGTCGAACATCAAGCTGGCTGCAGCTACCACCTCATCGTCTCTGGTAAAGCACAAATCGAAAACGTTCAGCAGAAATAGCATAAATGTATATTAAGCTGCATCAGAAACTATTCAACAGCTGCTCACTTGATGTAAAATGCCAGGAACTTCCTCTCTTCCACTTTGCCTTTGAATATGATTTCTGTGTAGCCTTCTCCATAGCCTAGAATGAGGAAATGAAAAGGGGAAATGAGACAGTATTAGGGTTTTATATGAAGATGTATTATATTTTATATACATTAAAGTGTTATGCTGCAGGGGTGATATTTTCCTCAGTAAATTACTCTACCTGTGTATCGGATACTCTTCCCAAGTAACACAGTCCAGAAGAAAGGAACAGACTCACATTTGGTTTGTTTCTGCAGCATGTTTAGGGCCGCTACTCTTCCTGAGGGTGAAAAAAAACAATATGTGCATGATAACATAAAAACCATGCATCAAATTATTAAGGATTATAAAAATGATGCCCAATGCAGAACTATTTCAACAGGAAAGTATTGTCAACTTGCAGCACAATATGAATCTGGGATTATCTGAACGTTGGTTTCTTACCTTGAGCTTGTGACATTTGCCAGTGACCGACGTTGACCCTTTGGTCTCCTCGGATGCTCAGAGGGAAAGACGTAACATCTCCAGCGCTAAAAATATCTGGTATATTGGTCCTCATTAACTATTAGAAAAGAGAAAGGAGTTCAAAGCAGCAGCCTGACATTTAGATAGACATGTACAGTACAGGCAGTGTGTATAGAACCAATCATCTCATTCAGCAGGACACAATATCAAATAGTAATGTTTGCCCAAACAAGCAATTAAAGCTATTAAAAGTCATGTTTATGATTTGTTAGTTATGTCAATGTTACATTTTGACTGAACTGTTACCTTGTCAACAATCACAGCTTTCCCTGAATTCACTTCCAACTCGCTTCCCAGCAAGAAATCTGAATTTGGGATTACACCTGAAAAACAAAAGGTGTGCACTTTTAATAAGGCCATAAACTTGATTTATTTCAAAATATTAGACCAACACTTTAAAATAATAATATACCAATTCCAACAATCACCACATCCGCCTCTAGGACTCGACCACTCTTCAGCAGCACCCCCTTCACCTGGAAGAAAATACTCATTAAGGGATCTACAATAGAATATACACTTTTCTTTTGTATCAATAAAAATAGCGTTGTTTTCCCACCTCACCATCGCTGACAATAGATTATATCCAAATTATTGATTATGTAATAAGTGACACCTGAGCTATCTAGCTACAAGATGCAAAATGTCTGCCTCTTCTCATTAGAAGTAAAGTTACCTTGCCGTTCTCCCCTTGGATCTCAGTGACTCTCTCGTTCATGTAAAATTTTACATTTTGTTCCTCCAACATCTTAAAAGAAGAAACTATGTTTTAAAGTGTGTTCAGTTGAATTAAGGCTAGTAACATCACATTCAGCAACACTACATCATTATTTTACTGTTTCTTACTTGCATACTCATTTTGCCAATCTCTGGCCCCAGAAATTTCTCGAACGGGTATCTGGAGGGGCCAACCACGGCCACGCTGGCAGCTTTATCTGATAAGTAGGACGCCACCTCCATACCTATTGTGTGAATAAAAAACATGTCAGCAGCAGTCTGAAATACTGGTGTGACTCCATGTGTTGTAAAGTAGATTTCTCTTGCTCTAGTAAATATTGACATAGCAGATTTAATATCGAGAAAGTTGGCCGTGCACAAGGTTAATAATTATTGAATGTTATAAAGCACGTAAAGAGAAACAGAATCTGGTAACCTATGAAGGAGGCTCCGATTATGACAGCTTTCTGGCCCTGACAGGCGTTGTGAATCTCTTTGGCGTCTTCATATCTCTGCAGTAACGTCACACCCTTCAGGTCCCCTCCAGGACAGTCGAGCGGCCGCGCTCTGTGAACAAAACAAAGACTTGGAAGTCACCATTTCCTTATGTGTCTAGCTAATTGTGAAACCTGAGTGTGACAAAACAACAACTGGAGGATGAAAAACAATCCTCTGTTTGAGGAACTGGATGTTGATTCTCACCTACAGCCAGTTGAGATGAGGAGTTGGTCGTAGTGCTGCAAAGTGCCGTCGCTCAACTTCACCGCCTTATCAGCCGTATCCACCGACACCGCCTGCAACACAAAACATTTTCTTAACAAGAGAATCCGTTTTCCATTTAGATGGTGATAACAAATCAACGTTTCTCACCTCCTTCTGTGTCCACACTTCAATCCCATACTGCTGATAGAAGTCACTCGGTCGGAGGAGGATGCTGCTGCTGTCCACATTCATAGCCTGAAAGAGAAAGGCCATTTCTGTTAAAAACTCCCAACTAGATACAAGTTGTCAACAAAAACTGACGGAAGTATCTTCGTAACCTCTCCTCTCTGATTGAGCGCTCACCTTACTCAGTTTGGGCTTGTCAAATGGAGGCATGTTGTCTTTGGTTACCATAATGATTCGACCCTGGTAACAGTTCTGTCGTAGAGTTTCAGCACAAACCAGGGAGGCAGGGCCTGAAGCAACACAATCCTTATTCAGTGTGTAATTCTTTACAGGTTACAGAGAAGGAGCTTATGGCAGCACTAAACCAAGACATTGACTTGAGCACTAGTCTCTTTTACAATCCTACTAGTAATGATTTGTGAGCCCCCCAAAAATGTATTTATTATTCACTACTTGTTTTTATGACATCTATGCCTTACCTCCTCCTATGAGCAGAATAGTGTGTTTGATGCCCGGTACCATGCTGCACATCTCCTTCACCCTCTTCGTCAACTTCAGAGACTAAGGCACAGAAAAAAGCCATAGATGATTACAAATAACGCATTTAAACACAAAAGGAAAGGAAGCCTCGTAATATCTATTTAACTTGCCATTACTTACATTTTTGTTGATGGAAACATACACCTTGCCAAGCTCAACTTTTACC